AGTATTGACCGGACGGTAGGAAATCCTACCTATTCCTATTACATATAATACAAACGACAACAACAACAAAAATAGAAAAAAAAGGCTACAGCTGGCAAGAAGTCCAAGCTGACACCAGAAAACGTATTTACCGAGGGGAAGGACTGGGATGTTATTTGTATTTTTGCCTTCTATTACATGAAGTTTCAACTTGCATTAAGTCCCATTGTCCTAACCTAAAAACAAATTTGGTTATACAGCATTGTGGATATGCCTACAATTCTGTTCTTTTCCCTGGCACTGGAAGCTAGTAGTTTGCATACGTAACTGTCCTCATGCGTTTTAAGTGTCGAAAGGTCCGGTGAATTCTAGATATTGTTTTCAGAATGTGCAACTTCAATCCACGTCGTTCTTGTCTTATATATATATATATATATATATATATATATATATATATATATATATATATATATATATACGTCAGTCAGTTATGTGTCATTCGAGATACACGCTTAGGCGCCCATGTATCATTTGATACATGACTGACGAGGTAGATGTTTTCCCTCAGCAGGTTTCATTTTTTTCTGCGGTAGACCAGATGCCATCGAATGCTATAGAACCCAGTATGTCCTTGGGGGAGAAGGAAAGGATTCATACCTTTCCCAAGGGTATTAGCGCGTAAGTGAATATAATGGAATTCGAACTCGGCTCTCCGATTCCTCAATCCGAGCCATTATCCATTACTTTAACACGTAAATATAGCATGCCTTAAATTATATATATTTATGTGTGTGTGTGAGAATGTATGAATATAAATATATGTATACATATTCAAATAACAATAAATAAAATTTAATTATGAACATAACCTTCCGTAATACTTAAGATACCACCAAATCAAATAAGAAAAATTAAGTAATGGGTAAGTCCTGACGTATATAATTATTTACCTTGCCATTTAAGCATTAAAAAATAAATTTTAAAATATTATTTAAGTAAAAAGTGGAATGCAACCACATTTTCCAAACTCAAGAATGCCCTACAACATTCGAGGATTTCTAAGACAAAAGAATTTCTAAGACCAAAGATTGCTACATTTATCTTTGAAACTCAAAGGTGAGAGAGAAAAAAAGGTATAAAACCAATAGAAAAATTCAACCTTTCAGCAATAAAAAGCGTATAAATTATTTTTTAACTTAATATAAAAATAACGAAAACGTTAACTGACAAGTGAATGAAGCGATTGCTGAATGAATATATATATATATATATATATATATATATATATATATATATATGTGTGTGTGTGTGTGTGTGTGTGCATAAACATATATATATATATATATATATAATGAAATGGATTAAGTCCGACAATTTAATATATTTTTTATTCATACGTCATTTTTATAGATACAATTTATTTAAGTAAATGCTCTGTTTAAACAGTATTACTTACATTTACCAGCTTGAATGTTCGAAAAATTTCGAAGGAAATATACCCGGTAAGTGTAATTAATTCTGTTTAATTAAAAACAGAGCATTTACTTAAATAAATTATATCTATCAAAATAACGTATAAACAGAAAATATATTCAATATATATATATGTAAATATATGCATACATATTCAAATAACAATAAATAAAATGTAATTATGAACCTAACCTTCTATGAGTAATACTGTAATACTTAAGATACCACCAAATCAAATAAGAAAAATTAAATAATGGGTAAGTCATGACATATATAATTATTTAACTTGCCATTTAAGCATTAAAAAAAATAAATGTTAAAATATTACTTAAGTAAAAAGTGGAATACAACTACATTTTCCAAATTCAAGAACACCCTACAACATTCGAGAATTTCTAAGACCAAAGAGAGTCTGCCACATCGGATGTAAGATTGCTACATTTATCTTTGAAAAAAAAGAAGGTATAAAACCAATAGGGAAAGAGTATAAAGAGACAAGAAGAAAGAAAACAAGAAATATCCACGACATTCTAGACGTAGGGACATACACATTTGCACGTGCTTGCCCGCGTGCACACTCGACTCGAGCGTGCGCACATGCACGCAAACGTATGAACACACGCAAGCATGTACGCCAACACAATGAAAGAAGAAAAATTCAACCTTTCACCAATAAAAATGCATAAATTATTTTTAACTTAATATAAAAATAACGAAAACGTTAAATGAGAAGTGAATGAAACAATTGCTGAATGGATATATACATATGTGTGTGCGTGAGTGTGTGCGTCTGTGTGTCTGTGTGCATAAATATATATGAGAATATATATATATACATACAATGAAATGGATTAAGTCCGACAATTTAATATATTTTCTTTTCATACGTTATTTTTATAGATACAATTTATTTATGTAAATCCTCTGTTTTTAATTAAACAGTATTAATTACATTTACCAGCTTGAATGTTCGAGAAATTTCGTAGAAAATATACCCGGTAAATGTAATTAATTCTGTTTAATTAAAAACAGAGCATTTATTTAAATAAATTATATCTATCAAAACAACGTATAAACAGAAAATATATTAAATATATATATGTAAAAATTCTCAGAATTAATCTGTAGAAAAAGACAATAGGAAATCCTCGAGAGTGCTGCCATTGAATATTATCCAAATATTAATCTACGCCTAGTTTTTTTTTCCCAATCTCATCTTTCCTAATATAATCACTACTCTCCCAAGCCAACATGCACAAAACAAAAAAAAACGATTGAATCCGTCTTTAGAACAATCCACTCCGCCATGTGTCATTCTAACCACCTGAAGAAGGCCGGGGCATACAACGGCCGAAACGTTGTAATAAATATAGCGACAAAGATGAGGACAGTAGTCCAAATAATGTAAATAGTGTACATAATACCTCATCTTAGAAATATAGATAGATACTCTTAAAACTGTGAGTTCTCCATACTTTCGGCCTTGTGCCACATCTAAGCTATCTTAGAAAATCATTTAGGGCACTCGACCTGGCATAATGATTAACAGGCTTGTCTCGCTAAATCAATTACAACTAATAGCGAAGTCGATCCTCACTGAGTTCCCCATACTTTCGGCCTTGTACCTCTCCCTACGTCTAATTCCTTCACAGTCAAGCTAGCTCCTATTTCTCTTTTAAGTACACTTTACTCCTTTACATTTTATCGAATGTCATAACTGCACCGTTTCATATCCGAGGCGTAAACGTAGCAATTTCTGAAGAATTAAGAGATTTCATTTTTTTTTTTTAATTTTTATAAACTTTTCTCAAATGTACAGCTGACGAAATAAAAGTGTTTAAAACAAACTTAGCCTCTACTCAGATAAGGGTATCCAATAAAATTAACGTTTAAACTAATAGAAATATGTTGAATTAAAAAATAAAATCCAATTCTTTAGAAATAGATAGATAGATAGATAGATGCAGACTTCGATATATATATATAGAGAGGGAGAGAGAGAGAGAGATGTAGACTTCGATAGATAGATAGATAGATAGATATAGACTTCGATATATATATATAGAGAGAGAGAGACAGAGAGACAGAGAGATGTAGATTTCGATAGATAGATAGATAGATAGATAGATAGATAGATAGATGTAGACTTCGATATATATATATAGAGAGAGAGAGATGTAGACTTCGATAGATAGATAGATAGATATAGACTTCGATATATATATAGAGAGAGAGACAGAGAGAGAGAGACAGAGAGACAGACAGAGAGACAGACAGACAGAGAGATGTAGATTTCGATAGATAGATAGATAGATAGATAGATAGATGTAGACTTCGATATATATATATAGAGAGAGAGATGTAGATTTCGATAGATAGATAGATAGATGATAGATAGATAGATAGATAGATATAGACTTCGATAAATATATACACAGATAGATAGATGTAGATGTAGACATCGATAGATGTATACACTGATAGATAGATAGATAGATAGATAGATAGATAGATAGATAGATAGATAGATAGATAGATAGATGTAAATTCAATATATATATATATATATATACAGATGTAGACTTATATATATATATATATATATATATATATATATATATATATATATATATATATAGAGAGAGAGAGAGAGAGAGAGAGATAGATAGATTGTGATCTAGCATAAATCCGCTTGCGTCTTCTCTTTTCTCTTGTCATTCAATTTGACAAGGTGTGCTTGTTTGCCTGTTTATTTTGTTTTATAACTTTTTCTATTGTGTTGTTTTTCTTCAGTTCGCCAATGCTCCAGACACGACCCGGTCGCTGTTTACCAGAAAATGAGGAACCCTTATGTTTGGACAGCTCAGTAAATTTATTCTGTCAATGATCACCTGCGATTATGAAACATTTTTGCAGCTCCTTTACTGCTTTGATGTCGATATCTTTCTGTTTACCCAGTGCGCCTCTTTGAACCCTAAACCTCGAGATTTTAGTTATTTTACACATTGCACAACTCCTCTTTCTTCTTCTTCTTCTTCTTCTTCTTCTTCTTCAAGACCTTCCCTATTATACTCCTTAATCTTTTTCATCAGCATCAGTTTATTCTCTTCCTGAGGACCTTCATGACATTTTTTGTTCTTCTTCTTCTTCTTCTTCTTCTTCTTCTTCTATTACTACTACTACTACTACTACTCTTAAAACCTTTACTATTATACTCTTTATTTTTTCATCATTAGTTTTCTCTTCCTGCTTTTCTTCTTCTTCTTCTTCTTCTTCTTCTTCTTCTTCTTCTTCTTCTTCTTCTTCTTCTTCTTCCATACCTTCTTTATTCTTTCATATTCCTTAAATATCTTCAATATCAGTTTTTCTCTTCCTAAAGACCGTTTCTTTTACATTTCAATCTTCTTCTTTTTCTTCTTCTTCTTCTTAAAATTAAATCTTCTTAATTTCTCCTTTTGTCTGACATGTTTTTTCGTCTCAATTGTCCTTCTATACGTTCTATTCCAAGACCATCATCATCATCATCATCATCACCATCATCATCAATAATGGCTTCTCTTTTTCATTTCCTTCTTTTCGCTGCCCCTTTGTCCTTCTCTTCCTTCTACTCTTTTCTTTTTTATAATCTGGTTCTTCTTCTCCTCTCATCCTACTTTCTCTTAATCTTCTCTATCTATTCATTCTTCTCATCTTTATTCTGCTCCTCTTTCTTCTTCTCCTTCTCCTCATTCTTTGAATTTTCATCCCTTCATCTATTTATTTTTTCCCTTTCTCTTTTCTGGCTTCTTTTTATCATGCACCTTGTTTCATCCATCTTTTGTCCGGACCCTTTTTACAACTTTCATTTTTTGTTTTCGTTATTTCTTTCTCTTATTTCCATTATTTATTCCTTCCGTCTCTTCCTGCTTTTATTCTTTCTTTCTTTCTTTCTTTCTTTCTTTCTTTCTTTCTTTCTTTCTTTCTTTCGTTTTCGTCTCATCCTTCCCTTCCTTTTCTCTACATCTCCCTCTTTATCCTACTTTTTTTCTCTTTTTCTCCTCTCCTCTTCCCATCTCCTATCTTTTTCTCTATCTCTTCGTTATTTTTACCTCCACCTCCTGCACCACTTCCTCTCATTTTTTCACATCTTCCTTCCTTTCCTTATCTTTTCTTTCTTCTTTTTCTTCTTACATTCGTCCACATAGCTACCTATATCTCTTTGTTCTTCTCAACCATTTTTTCTTTCATCTCTTCATCATTACTCTTTTTATTCTTTTTTCCTTTTCTTTTTCCTTATCGATTTCAATTTTACTTAATCATTATTCCATCTTTCTTTCCTTTGTTAGAAATTTCTTCCCGTCCCTCACTCTTTTTGTCAACCCCTTTTTTTCTCCATGATCCCGTCGTTGCTTTCCTTTCTCTCCTTTTGTTTTTCTTTCTTTCTTTCCATTTCCATCTTTTCTATTTACCTTTCTTTCTACAAATTTATTTTTCTTTCTTGAACGTCCATCCTTCTGTATTCAATTGTATCTTCTTTTTCTCTTTGTTTTCTTCTTTTAAGCGAAACCCAGGGAATGTGTGTTGTGACTGTCGGAACGAAGACTAAATGTTGTTCATCCAACGGCTCTCTATTCAATACATTGGATCCAGCAACATCTTACAAACTGCTTTCCTTTCACGTTCGCTTATATAAAAAGACAATATCAAAGGCCCACAAAAGGTATTTACATGTATGCAGGTGTAACTATTGGATCTCACTGCAAATGCTTAAAATATAGTAGAGAAAGGAGAAAATCGCTCTTTTGTCATAAAATTCTAACAAAACACGATCAGAAAATAACAGAAGCAGTATAATAGATAACTTCTCTGATAATCATGTTCTTCTTGATTTTAAAAGCAATTCTATAGCAAAACGTTTACAATACGTTTCTATAGTAAAATATTTGTATTGTTTTCCTGCAATAAATTAGCACTGTTTTATATTATACATGTTTTTATAATTTAAACGTTATTTTTAGTGGATACTCGTATTTGAGTCGATGCTCGATTTATTTATTAAATAGCATCTGTTTTCGAATACCGGCATAAATAATTGAATATCCACTAAGTATGTAAATATATTTCTATTAACATTTGCATGAATTCCTAACCATTTACCCAGTCAGTCAGTTATGTACCATGCGTGATACCCGCTTAGGGCGATCATGTATCTTTTCGATACATGACTGACGAGGCAGATTTTTTTCCCGCGGTAGACCAGTTGCTATCCAAAGCTATAGAACCCGGTTTGTCCTGCGATTACCATGGCTGGAGAAGAAGAAGAGGATTCATACCTTTCCCAAGGGTATTAACACGTAAGTGAATGTAATGGATCTGACTGGAATTCGAACTCGGCTCTCCGATTTCTCAATTCGAGTCGCTATCCATTTACTCACTTTACCTTATTTCAATACATTTTATGAAAAAATCATTTACAATTTTTTTCTGTAGCAAAATATTTAACTGTTCTCCTATAAACTGCTGATTTAATGCATAGATACCAAGTTAAGTCAAAAGATTTTTCGGATTTTCACTGATAATTTTTGTTATCCAATCGCTGCTGAATTATTAATTCCTTATTTTCATATATAGCATATAAATATTAATTGTTTATTCTTTATTCTTCATCCTGGGTAAGACGTTAAAGTAGATATATATACATATACATTTACATGGCTTTTTCTTTTTTTTTTTTTTTATAAAGGAGATTTTTTAGACTTATGGCGGGATCCAAATAAAATAAAAAAACAAGGAAAAGTAAAAGAATATCCACCACTTAAATGCTGAAACTCCGCTTGGTTAAAAACTTCGACTTTAGTGAAACCATCAACGATAAACTTACTCGTCTTGGGTATGACGATAAACTACATCCGCATTCTGGGTAAGACATTAAACTACATCCGCGTCCTGGGTAAGACTATAACCTACATCCGCGTCCTGGGTAAGACGATAAACTACGTCCAACAGTAAGGCCTCTGATCAGGAGGTTTTGAGGATAAAGTGAGGATATTGTTTTATTAACATAAACTTTTAGAAAGTGGGGGAATGATATTCTGAAGTATGTTGAAAAGAGTGCATTTGGCATAAAAGACTGAATATCTCTGCATTAGTTCTGAGTTCGATACTAATTAGGGGTACCCTAATAACGTAGCCTTGTAAACTATTTACATTATTCGGACTATTGTCCTCATCTTTGTTGCTATATTTATCACAACGTTTCGGCTGTTGTACGCCCCTGCCTTCCTCAGGGACACATGGTACAGTGGATAAAGGTGTTAGTTAGATCCAGTGACAGGAACCAAAGAGTTAAGGCAGTGGAAAACGTGGAGAGGTGAATTAACAGGAGATAACTGATAACTGACATCCATTAGACATGGCACATGGATCTAGAACAGTCTACTCCAGCGAGCGAAATAAAGGGTTCAGTTCGACATTCCAAATATCTGAAGAGAGACCGGAGCGTACAACGGCCGAAACGTTGTGATAAATATGGCAACAAAGATGAGGACAATAGTCCGAATAATTTAAATAGTTTACATAATACCTAATCTCAGAAATATAGGCAGATACGTAGACTTGTATCAAACAAACGTAAGCCTTGTAAATGACACAAGGGGACATCGAGGTTAGGTAATAATTACAAATTCTACAGATCATTTCTACTGAGCAGTGTGTCTGATTTTCATACCGGTTAACTAGGTTAGGTTGATTAATTTAACGACATATCAAAGCATATACGGTTACTTAATGCTGAATATAAGTATCTTCTTTTATGTGTTGTGTCCTTTCAGGACGTAGATCATGGCCCTTCACATCCTCCTCTCCCTTGTAGCTCTTAATAAGTTTTTTTTTTGTTATTTCTCCCAAACCCTGTGTTAGCATCCATTTACTCCAACTCATCAAGTTTACTACACGCTGCTTTTCTGACATGTTAGTATCATATTTTCCAAGCCTTCCTTCCTCAAGGCGTGCCCCAGAAATTTCAGCTGACTTTTTCTTATATTTGCTAAGTATAAGTTTCCTTTTTGTTTTGATTTTCTTCAAAACCTTGTCGTTGCTCACATGTCCAAATCCATGGCATCTTAAGCATAATTCTATAGTTTCAAGTCTGTTCTTCATCTTTGATCAGATTGTTCAGCATTTGCTGCCATGCAAGAGCACAGATATCACGTAACAGTTCAATACTTTTCTTTGTTTCTATCGAAAAGTTTTTGTTTTCTTAATACTCTGCTTAGCTTTTGGAGTGCATCTTTGGCCATCCGAATACGTCTTCGGATCTTAGTATCACACTTTCCGTCCCCTCTTAGAAGACTTCCAAGATATTTAAATTTCTGTACTTGTTTGATTTTAGTATTCCCAATTTGCAATTTGCACTTTGGGCTCATTCTTTTTACTGATGACCAAGCATTCTGTTCCCTTGTATATAGGACAAAAACCATATGAAATTAGTAAAAAGGTGGACATAGGTTCGCTTTACACTAAATTTAAAAACTAGACATAGTTCCGTTTTGAACAAGTGCAAAAAAAGTAGACCAATGTCCGGTTAACAGTAGTTTAAAAACGTATATATATATATATATATATGTCCGATTTACACTCGAGTAAAATAAAAGGTAGACATAGGTCCGGTTTACACTCGACCCCAAAAAAAGGGTAGACATAGGTCCGGTTTACACTCGACCAAAAAAAAAAAATGATGGTAGACATAGTTTACACTCGAGTAAAAAAAATGGTAGTCATAGGTCTGGTTTACACTCGAGTAAAAAAAAATGGTAGACATAGGTCCGGTTTACACGAGAGTAAAAAAAAAGGTAGACATAGGTCCGGTTTACACGAGAGTAAAAGGATAGATATTGGTTCGTTTTTTACTGAAACCAAAAAGGTATACATTGGTCCGATTTACATTAGAGTAAAAAAAAAAAAAGGTAGGCGTATGCCCGGTTTACACTAGAGGCAAAAAAGGTAAACATAGACCCGTTTTACACGAATAAAAATGGTATAGATTGGTCTGGTTTCCACCGGAAACAAAAGTATCTATTGGTTCGATTTACACCAGAAGACATAGGTTCGGTTTACACAAGAGCCAAAACTGTAGACTTAGGCCCGGTTTACACTAAAATGAAAAAGATATAGATCTGTTTTATACCTGAGACAAAAGATATACATTAGTTGGTTTTATTCAAATATCCACCTGGAAGGTTGACCTCACTCTGCAGAGGATACAGCCGATATATTTTAAGCCCTACTGTTATAGTAATTTATATAGGAGGCTATGCGTTAAAACTAAGTAATATAATATTAACACTTTCACTGGTACTCATTTGCCCAATGCTGCCCTCATCCGGCCAGCCATTTTTAAAGAAAATGCCAAATTTCAACCTACATATTTTATTACACAGAAAACTGGCACCAGTGTGTTTTACAGCATTCCATTTTCATGAATATACCTAGGAATGACTTACCAGATTAGTAATGGGTATACACATGATATCTTTTGAAGCATTTTCATTTCTGATTTTACGATAGATGGTGCAATGGGACACTCATACCAGCGGTATGCAAAAAAATGTAGGTTTCCGTACTTAGCCAGCTGGAGCAAGATAAGAAAAACGAAGATCTCCATAGTTAGCAGCGGAAGTGTTAATTTATAAAATGAATGGGCTGTCTGTAGTGGTGTAGCCGGGAAGTGTTTTAACAGAGGACGGAAAGTGGGCATTGGCATAGGAAAAGATGCATTCAAAAAGCTAAGCAAAGTAAAAAAACTGAAAAATTTAGTTAGAGACAAAAAAAAACTGAAATGTTACATAATATCAGTAAATGCTGCATAATCTTCTTAAGGATGAAGAGGAGACTTGAAGCAACACAATTTTTTTTTCTACAGAAGGATACCAAGAATAACATGGACCGAACATGGGATCAACGACGAAGTTTTAGAGAAAATGGAAACAAAAAGGAAACTTATACTTAACATCAGAAAGCGACAGTTGACATTTTTAGGTCTCATAGTGAGGAAAGAGGGCTTGGGAAATTTGATCCTCACCGGATAAACTGAAGGCAAGTGGACAGAGAAAAACAACGCGTAACCTATCTAGCGAGTGTTATTAAATGGGCGGTGGTGCAAGGTTTAAGAGAGATAACAAAAAGACAAAATTTATTAACAGCTATAAAGGACAGGGAATTGTGGGGGATTTATAATCGCTAACGTCCTGAAGAGACACGGAACAAAGAAGAAGAAGAAGAAGAAGAAGAAGAAGAAGAAGAATAGACAGTGGACCTATAAATATTTTATGAGTGTGATCCTCACTGGGTGTCCATTCCGCATATATTTCTTTTAAAACAGCAAGTACGCTAAATAAATAGGAACCATACCAGCACATTCTGGATTCCACTGCAGCCAACGCTAAAATACATCTGGGATTATTAGTTCATTTCCCCCCCACCCCAACTCCAGTTAGATTCTACAATTTCGTTCTGTGTAATTATTAGAGTGAGTAAATGTTTTGATGTATTTGTTTAATAAATTCGAGGCGGGACATTACGGGTTACTTAAAAAGCTAGCAAGTTAATATTTACATATTTCATTCTGTATTTCCCGATTTTTGGGGGTGTATTTGTTTTAATTTTTTTTTTTAATTTTTTTTTTTTTTTACGACGAAAGAAATCTCAAGAGACGTGAGTCAGTTTATACAAAATTTTCTCAGGATGTGGGAAGTTCCGAAGAGCATAAGCATTTGCTGTTCTTTCACATATGGTTTAACTAGGGCGCTTAGCAATGAGATTAATTTAACACACACGCGCATGCGCGCACACACACACACACACACAAACATACGCATGCGCCGCGCTACACACTAAATTAGAGCAGGATCTCCGTAACCGCGGTAGAGATAAGTTTCTTTAACGAACCATATATAGATATATATATTTTTTAATTTTATTCTAATGCGATGTCTCTTCAAAATGTAAACGGTCATGGCTCTCCACTTTTTTTTTTTTTCCTTGATTATTATCTTGGAATTACTACTTTTTTTTTTTAAAAGAGAATGGGATCGTTTCTCGTTGCCTTCTCCACTTTTTTGAATCCAGGGAACTCCTAGGTAACAAGGTCTTGGCAGCACGGTTTACAACCCTATTTGACTTTTTATCTGGGCGGATGAGAAATAAATTTAGGCCTTTCTAGGTGGGGGGGGTCAGTAGTGAGAAAGTGATTGCAACAAACAAAGGCGAGATTTAAACGTGAACCGCTAATTCCGGTTTCGGTTATGCTGTTCTCACATCAAGTATATATACCCTATATAGCCCCCAATTTTTAAAGTGAACGCAACAAACATAGGTGTGATTTGAACGTGGGCCGCTAATTCCAGTTTCCGTTATTCTATTCTCACATCAAGAATATATACCTATATAACCCCCGAAATTTTCAACTGGGATTCCTTTAAAAACGTATTTTTTAATTTGAATGCTTTCTGACGCAGTGCAACACTGAAATCCAAATGCGCATTGGGATAGGGAAAGATGCCTTCCAAAAGCTAAGCAAAGTATTAAGAAACAGTAAAATATCTGGGAAGAGTTTTAACAGAGGACGGAAAATAAGACTGCAAAATCCGAAGGCGCATTGGAATAGCGAAACGTGCCTTCAAAAAGCTAAGCAAAGTATTGAGAAACAGTGAAATATCTGGGAAGTGTTTTAACAGAGGACGGAAAGTACGACACTGAAATTTGAAGACGCATTGTAATAGCGAAAGTTTCCTTCCAAATGCTAAGCAAAGTATTAAGAGACAGTAAAATACCTGGGAAGTGTTTTAACAGAGGACAGAAAGTGCGACACTGAAATCTGAAGGCGCATTGGGATAGCGAAAGATGCCTTCCAAAAGCTAAGCAAAGTATTAAGAAACTGAAAAAAATCATTAGAAACGAAAGAAAGAGTATTGACGTGTTATGTAGTATCAGTCCTCCAACATGGCAGTGAATGCAGGACAATCTCCTCACAGATGAAGAAGAGACTTGAAGCAACACAAAGATGCCGAGAA